GCTGATTTCGCTTAATTTCTGTTTGCGAACATATCTCATGAAAATCCCGGGCGAAGAAAAAGACTAGAAGGGAAGCAAAAGGGCTACAAATCTCGCCACCTTTCTGCCATAAACAACTGCCAACAAACTACATTCTGATTTTGGGATCCAATACATGTATAGAATAGACCACAAGCATAATTCCTATTTCAAGAAAGAGTTACAGAGGAAAGCAGATATAATTTTGGCTAGTAATACAAGCATGGAGTGATTCTCTTCCTCTCAACAGTAGTTTGAAGAGCTACCCTGAGTTCAAGGCTCGAAGTTTTGGTTTGTTGCATTTTCTATATGGAAGAGTAGCAATGAGATTCGACAAGCAGAAGCTTCCTCTGCAATTCTGGTTAACATGGGTTGGGGTATGGGCGGGTAATACGGGTACCCGTAATACCCAAACGGGTATTAACGGGTTACCCATGGGTACCCATTATAGATCTTCTTAATCCCATGTCCCATTCCGTAACAAAAATTACGGGTATATGGGTACCCATAACCCTCAAAAAACGGGACGGGTATGAGTATACCCAAATATCCGTTTCTCGTTGCCCACCCCTAGCATCTATGCTCACGACTAAGGCGACTGATAAACTGGTTACGATACCTGTGATCCAATCGGTGGCCTTGCCTAAAGGGGTGAGTAGCAACGGGATGAAACATGACAAAGGACAGGGAAAGAAGAGAGGTGAAACTAGGGGTGGCAGTTCGGTTTCCGATTAGCGACTAACCGGCCGGTTCAACCGATAACCGCCAGTTAGCGGCTAAACAAAAACTGACATTTATCAAAGGTGGTCGGTTGTCGGCACAGAGATTGGTCACTTCGGCTAGCCGATAACCGAAGCCGGTTTAACCGGCAAACCGAAGCTAACTGAATCACCTTCCATCAATGTCTATATACGGCACAGTTTAACAATTTCAACCTTAAAAACAACATCCTCCAGCACTCCTCCCTTTCCCAGTGACCCGCCGACGTGGCACCTTACCCGCCAACCTCCCGCGAGCCCCGACTCTTCCAGTTTTTTACCGGCGACCCCTAACCCCGTGCCATCCCTCGCTGACCCACGACCCTCGTCGACCCCTCGCCGACCCGCGACCCTTGTCGACCACTCGACCCCCAGCAACAGCATCAGAAAAAGGAAGAGAAACAAGATGAAAACAAAGACAAGCAGAAGACCGTCGCCGCCCTTGCTCTTCCCGTCTACCGCACGCCGATGCAGCTTCTCCTCCTTCATAGAAATAGAGAGAGGAGAGAAAAAGAAGAGTTTGGAGGGTAGCAGTTTAGGAGAAGCAGGGAGAGGAGAGTAGAAGGTCTGGTTTTTGTTATTCCCGGTAAAACAAAGAGGAGAGAAGAAGAAGAAGAAGATAAGAAACGTGTGGGCTTCCTCTTCTCTTTCTTTTTTTTTTTTATTGCTAGCTAACAAAACAAGAGAGAAGAACACGTGGGAGGGGTGGGGTGGTTTCTTTTCTTTTTTTTAATAATTTCGGTTAATTGCGGTATAACTGAACCAAAACCAAAACCGGTCGGTCGGTCGGTGGTCGGCTACCCGTAGCTTCCTCACGGTCAGTGGTCGGCAACCATAAGAGACGACTCGGTTTAACCGATAACCAAAAAATTGATTTTTGGTTAAACCGAAACCGACCGACTGACACTCCTAGGTGAAACACACCAGGTGGTCCCTGCCAATCCCGAAAGTACCATGGTGGAAAATAAGGCAGGGAAGAGTGGTGGGACAAGTTCGGATGAAAGGCGCAAAGGTAGTACAAAGGAGGCTCAGGGGGTGGGTCATTCTCCGTCTATGCTTATCGGTGATCCAAAGCCGAGTGGTAAAGATGGCCAACAGGCCACTGGTCGTGTGCGCTAATTCCCAGCTTTTTGCTGGCTGTTCAGGGAGTCCCTTTCCTTTACTCTTTTTGTTTGTTTCTTCCTGGTTTTTGTTATCATGTTAAATTTTTTTGCTTGGAACTGCCAAGGGGCAGGTCACGACAAGTTTATCTCCATTTTACGGTCTTTTTTTGTGCCTACACGGCCGGATATTGTAATTATTGTGGAGCCCCGGATCAGTGGATCGGTGGCTCAAAAGGTCATTTCTCATATCGGGTTTGATGGCGTGTTGTTGGTTGATGTTGTTGGCTTTGCAGGAGGCATTTGGGTTTTGTGGGATGAGCAGGAGTTGATGATCTCAGAGCTCGAAGCTTGGGAGCAGATGATTCATTTTTCTTGTAAGAGACGAGGTAGTAGGGGACCACCAGTTGTTATCTCTGCGGTCTATGGGAGTCCGCATCCCAGTCGTCGACAAGATCTGTGGGACAGGATGTGGCTGCTTGCTACACAAACTATAGAATCGTGGCTATTGGTGGGAGATTTCAACTCTATTCTGGGTCCAAATGATCGAATGGGGGGCGGAGCCTATTTGGAATCAAGAAGAAGTGTCTTCTGTAACTGTCTGGATGCATGCGGGTTGATGGAAGTGGGTTTCACAGGACCCCCGTTTCACCTGGAAGAGAGGTGGCTTATCTCAAAGGCTTGACTGGGCGGTGTGCAACAGAAGGTGGTTCCGGCAATTACCGGAATCAATAAGTCATCATTTAGAGCGGGTTGGTTCAGACCACCAACCCCTTTGAGTCTGTACGAGGCCCATGGAAAACAGAGTGGAGGCACTCGCTCATTTCATTTTTTAGCAGCTTGGTTGGGGCATGAGGATTTCCCTCGCCTCCTGGAGATGAGTTGGAAACATGTTCTCTCATTGCCAACGTCTCTGGTAAAGCTTAAGACCGACCTCCAAAGTTGGAATAAGCGAGTCTTCGGCAACATCTTCCGGCGTAAGAGAGACCTGGCTAGACAACTCCGCCGGTTGGAGGAGTTCAATGAAACCTCGGCTACTGTGCAGTCTCGGAAGCAGGAAGAGAGAGTGCGGCAGGAGTTAGAATCGACTCTTTGGCAGGAGCAACTCTTATGGTTTCAGAAGTCGCGGGCTTCCTGGATTACCCAAGGAGATAAAAACACATGGTTCTTTCACTTGTCCACTCTCAAACGGCATCGGATTAATAAGATATCAGCGCTCCAGGACCAGAATGGTGAGTGGGTTCATGATGATGTTGTCTTGCAGGAGATGGCAAGGGACTTTTATAGGATTCTGTACCTGGCTGAGGCTGGCCCTGCTCTGTGGGTGCCGAATGGCTTTAACAAGCTGGATGCTGACATTGGCAATGCACTTGTTAGACCCTTGATGCGAGAGGAGGTTTGGGCTGCTGTCAAGGATATGGAGGGACTTAAAGCCCCGGGCAAATATGAGTTCCAACCGCTGTTCTACCAGAAATGCTGGGAGAGGGTGGGGGATGCATTTTCCGAGTTTGTCTGCATGTGCTTTATGGATCCGGTTCTGATTAAGGAGGTGAACGAGACTCTTATCGTCCTCATCCCCAAGAAGGAGAGTCTGGAGACCATCCAGCAATTTCGCCTGATTGGTCTGTGTAATGTGTCGTACAAGACTGTGGCAAAATGTATTGTGAACAAGATTAAACCTCTTATGCGTCGTCTGGTGCACCCAACCCAAACCAGCTTTGTCCCGGGGAGGCACATAACAGACAACATCATCATTGTTCAGGAGGTTGTGCATTCCATGGGTTTGAAGAAAGGGAGGAAGGGTCGGATAACATTGACGATCGATTTAGCTAAGACTTATGACCGAATCAGTTGGGGTTTCCTGTGCGAAACACTTGAAGCAACAGGGTTTCCAGGGGATCTCATTATGACGATTATGGCCTGTGTCTCCTCTTCCGGTACGCAGGTTTTGTGGAATGGCGCTCACACTGAGACATTCGTTCCATCTCGAGGACTACGTCAAGGGTAATGTTTGTGCCGATTATCTTGCTAGTCAGGGTCATCACCTTACCTATGGTTGTCATTTGTTTCCAATTTCCGATCTGATGCTCTCGCATCTGCTATTGTATGACTGTCAAAGGGTTTTTGTACCCCGGTTGGTTTTGAATGAAAGTTAGAGTGTCGTTGCATCCATTATAAAAATAATAATAAAAACAACTCTAGGCTTCATTTTCCTTCTATAACATGACAATCAAATATTTTTAATTATGAATAATCAATTTACAACAAGTTATACACACCTTTGATTTAACAACACAACCCAATCCTGTTTTCTGTTTGTGGATAAACATCAAAACTTTCCAGTTCCTCGATGAGTCACGATAGGAAACGACCACTGCTTTTCCTTCAAGTGCATGAACTCGTACGGCATAAGCCCTGACCCGATCGTAACAGGCCAACTGATATGACCCAAAATACAACTTTACCGAAAGCCACTAGGCCATGACTGAAAAGGAAAGCCCACTAACGTTTTGATCTCTCATTCAGATCGTTTCATTCGGCAGCAAGTTTTCCACTGTTAATTCCCTACTGAAGAGAGACACGTACAGCCAGAAGGCATGATGAATACACAAAGCTATCTTGGCCGTCCGTTGAATTGAATTAGCACCCTTAGAAATGAGCAACAGACAGAAGAAACGACAGATGGCAGCCATCCTTAGTGCCTTAACCCCACAAGTAAAGTGCTCATTTGGAAGGTAGCTTCCCGGACAAAAACCATATCTTTGGGAGATCATCTCATCTTCCACACTACGCATGACACGTAACCAAAAACCCTACTCCAGTCTTTCTTTCAAGAAGCATCACCCATTTGTTCAACAATTAATACCAAAAGCAAGAGGCGGCACTAGCTGATAAAACATTACTTTGCCACTACGACACCCCAATTTCTCATTGACCCGGACCCTTTACTCGATTCAAGCCCACGAATCTGCCCTTATAAATCTTACCCTTTCTGCTGCTTCTTGCTCATCCCAACTCCATCTCTTCTCTTAGCTTCTCTCCTACACAACACAAACTAGTTTCCTCCCGCTTTCTCTTCTCTTTCCTGTTTCTGATAACTTCAAAGAATTTATTACCTAAAGAAATGGCGAATGCCCGCATAGCAAGGTTCATCACTGAGGTAGCACCGTCACAGTATGTTAGTGTCATGAGGCGCAGAGCATCCAAGATGATGGATACCATCAAGGAAGAAGAGAGAGACACCACCACTGCCAGCTTTGATGCTCTCTCCACCAGGTCCCGCACTTTTGCAGCTCCTAATAACAACACCTCCACTGCCTCTTCCTCTTCTTCTGCTGCTGCTGCTAAATCCGAGCACTTGCTCACCGGGATCCAAAGATCACTTTTTGATCTCTGAAAGACCACAGATGATGCTTCTACCAGAGACTTTCCTGTCTGTGACTTGTAGAAGAAATGCAGTTTTGCATTCTCAATTCTCCCCTTTTGTTTTCTTTTTTTCCCAGTTGTGAAAGGGAACAATGTTTGTTTTGGTCAGAGATGTTTCTTGACTGGAGTTGCAGCAGATGGGAGGTCTTTTTGTAAACTCTATCTGTAGAACAAGTGCTTAAATTGTCAGAAACCACAGTGAAGTCAGTAGAGATAGCTTGCAATGTTTGGATCTATGTATGTATCCATGTCAACAGAAGTTGAAGAGAAATACAAGCAAATATCGTGTTCTTCAACTTCTAACAACTATTTGTACGGGGCCAATCCTATAACCTTAAAATTCATTAAAACCATGAATCTTTGAACAATTGGAGCTGTTAAAACCTGCACGATATACTAATCATGGCAATCATCATTTATGAGATAAACCTGTTGGAATAGACTTCTAGGAAGAAGTGTCGATGTGTTGAAATGGTTCCAATATCTGTATAAAATAAATATCTCGGTATTTGTTCAACTAACTCATGAAAATACTTCTAGAGACCCAAGACCACACACCTCCGGCGAGCACTGTATGGAACCCTTTTTTTTTAATCTAAGGACGATTTAACCTGAACATATCAAGTACGATGTATCCAGACAAGATGACAAGTATACCTCCTGGTGGGCAAACCTATAATAATCTTAGAAAATGAAGTCAACTGCTAATCTGATAATCTAGGTAGCGATAGTTGAACTAACCTATACAGTTGGCGCATAGATCGGGGCCAGAATAGATAATTTAATGATCATTCCTTGATTTTTTTCCCTCTGCTTGGCTTCTTCTAGAAGACTTAGGGGCAAGTTTCCGCTTCTTAGATGTTTCCGATTCAACTTTCTCCTTTAGTTTCTCCAACGCTGGATCATAGAAATAAGATGGGATGAGTGTTTGTATAAAATTGTAGCATCGACAAAAGATAAAAAGCTGTGTCCTTACCGGAAGGATAAATAGTTCGAAGTGACTCGAGAGAGTCAGAAGGCACAGAGTAGTTGGGACATGAATCGATGCCAGCTTTCTGTAAGAGTTTCTTGAAGCGCTTGACCTTCAATGAAATGGAAAAAGAATGCAATCCAAGATGATGAGAGAATGTTGGCTAAACCAATATATATCTTGATGTACATAGTATTGAAAATCCAGAGATTTAAGAGAAACCATCACATTTCTCAGCATCCATGGACAGGGCAGTAGAAAAATGGAGAACATTTAGTGGCATCAGATGTAGGGCAGAGCTACTAATTGAGATTATGCAGAAAGAATTACCTCCACTTTATCCAACAATGTGAAGCAACGGCCCTTTTGACCTGCTCTAGCTGTCCTACCAGCCCTATGTATGTAGGTCTTGACATATGAAGGCATGTCATAATTGACAACGTTTCTCACCCCTTCAACATCCATTCCTCGAGTCATTGCATCAGAGGAAACAAGCACCTGTACCTTCCCTTCCCTGAAGGCTTTTAATGTCTTGCTGCAGTGCAGTAAACATTGTTTAGATGCTGTATTACATTATCAACACAGCTATCCACAAACTACATTGGCAAAAGCATATGCTTGGTAGTTTGCAGTTTATCTTGTATATCCCAAATGGAAGCCAGACTAATATACCAGAATCCAGGATACCTCTTTTAATGTGCATATGTTAAGGATCAATCACTAAGAAACCAAACCGGATATTGTAATGTGAATAGTACCTTCTCACAGATTGACGTTGGAGACCAGAATACTCTTTGATATTGAGTTTCAAATCACCAAAGAAGTTCACTAGGGTGCAAAGCCGGTGGGTAGATTCCACTGATGAGGTAAAGACAATGCACTTTTCCGATCCTAAACTTTGTAGAACAGCAACCAAGTACAGGGGCTTCAGCTTAGACTCACACATCTGCCAGATGGATAAAGAATTTAGTTTCAAAAAATAAAATTGGAATGCAGAGAAGTTCCTTCACTAACAACAACAATCAAACAGACTACCGATTCAATTAGGGATCAGCTTGATGCAGTTGATAGCAAAGAGTGATGCAAAAGGTTATTAAATTAACTGCAGAGCGGATAGAAAAAAAGAGCTCACCAAACTGTAGGATTCTAATCTTTCAGGAACCTGGTAACGCCTCTTCCCAGTTGTCAATAACAAAGGATGATGTAGATCAAGTTGAGCGAGCTTGCTTGGATCTCGGGTTAATGTGGCAGATAAAACCAATTTCACAAGCCTGGGATAAGGTTTCCCCTTAAACCCCTTTTCAACGCCACTGCAAATGAATTAACATTTATAAGAGGCCAACTAGGAAGGCGATTTGTTGTCACTTTCTACCAGAAATCCCTTCATTAAATGCAGAACATCCCAGAAAAATCTAGAGGACAATATATACATCTAGAGAATAAAACTAGTTGGAAGGAGTACAATGCAAAATAAGAACATGCAACTTACCATCTTCTTATGGTTTTCAACGGACCAAATGCAGATGGCAGAAAACTGTTAATACATGGGACAGGGCCTTCTTCATCAGAGCGAGTTAGGTTAAGAACAGTAGGAAGCCAAGACTGGTATGCCTCCCTGAGCATTCTATCAGTTTCATCAACCACCTGAATTAGCTAACTTCGATTAGTTCACAAGGATCAAATGTCCACTACTGATAGAACCAGCTTGCATTTGGTAATCTCAACTGAGAAAACACAGTAACACACTAGAAACTGTACATTCTAACCTGAAAGAGAAACTTTAAGAGAGAAGTTGCAAGTGGAAGAGACCGAAGTGATAATTAACACTGCAACTTACTAAATAGCAGAGGTGCTCAAGCGTAAATCCCTTAGTACTTGTGATATGGTCCATAAGCCTACCCGGCGTTGCGACCAATATATCAACCGAACTTTCTAATTCCTGTGGAAGATCATCTGGGTCGTAACAGATACCCGCCTCGAGCTTAGGTCTCTTAATCAGTTTGGATATTTCATCAGCTACTGAAGATTGCCCCACTGCCAGACCAACAGATAAGCCCACCGCCGGTGCAATTGCAGCAAACACTTCCTTCACCTAATCTCGATAGAGTGCCAACCAAGTCCACAAGAAAAAGCATTCGTTCAGTCTATTAGACGAAAAACTGTGGGGTAGCTGTCTAAATTTTCAATGGAAGGAGCGCTAAACCTGCAAGGCCAAGTCACGCGTAGGCAAGACCACCAAAGCGCGCAAACATCTGACGGTGCGATTCGAAAGCGCTTGCACAATAGGCAATGCGTAGGCCAACGTTTTACCACTGCCAGTGGGCGAATTTATGCAGAGGTCGCGCTCAAAGGCGCCAGGGCCGATTGTTTCCTGCCACACGCCAACTTGTACTGGAAAGAGCGATGAGAAACCCAACTCCTGCAGCGCGACCATCAGCCTGAAACCAGCAGCGGTATAAATATCGTTCAATCGCGAGCTCAAAACCAAGGCCATTGAAGAAGGAAACTGTTTATGAATCGAGTAAACTCCACTGCTCAGGGGCGGGAACAATAGGCGTACCTGGGATCAAGGCAAGGCAGGAGATCTAGAGGGCATTCTTCACAGTGACTGACGTCAACTGGTTGCCTCATCCATGGCAACACTGGAACGCTTTCCTGTCGTGGTTCCCCCATTGGCGCCTCCTTCTTCTCTGTTCTCAACGGCTTCTCTACTCCGTTATACCCTAGCCAGAGGGTTTTGGATTTGGAGAGAACACTGGAATGTCGACCTAGAGACTAGGAAACTTGGAACTGTCCTGAAAAAGACCCTGGGCTTAGTAAACGAATTAAGAGCCCAACGCAACCCTTCACGGTTTCTTATAGTTTTCATTATTGAGCTGTGGTTTGGACTTGACTTCCTTCATCGAGGCCCAACTGTCCCGAACTTGGAGGGAATAACTCGGTTTACGCAAATTCCTATCCTTCTCTTAGGCTCAAATTAACTTCTGTGACAATTAATTGGTAGTAGTTTTCGGTCCAATACAGGTAGGTGAATCGATAGGTGCACAACGGCTCAAGATAGGGTGCATAACCCATGGTTATGCACCCATCAATAACCAAATTTGGACCCTTCATTTAGAAAATCCAGATCTAAGGATGGAGAATTAAAGGCTATTTTTATTTTCACTAGTTTTCTTAATTGACTCATATCTTTTTCGTTTTAACTCGGATTTTAATTTTTTTTGCACAGATGGAACGAGTTCATCGTGCTCTACAAAATGAGATCAATTTTCAATATTTTTTGAGGAAAAAAAAATTCTGGCCTCTCGGTACCAACTGCATACCATATGGTATTTTCTTCGTTTTTCATTCGTTTTTGAAAACGTTTGCACAGCAGGGACGAGTTCATCATGATTTATTGGATCTACAAATTTCTGGGTGAACAAATTACAAGACCAAAAAATACCACACAATACCATACAATACCATCCTGGTACGGGGTGGTATTTTATGTTATTTTATGGTATACAATGTTAAAAGTCGTAAATGACAATTAATATACTTCTACTATCATGTATTCAATCATCCTACAGTCTTGGTTTGTTCATACCACCATGGTACGCTTTTGAACCCATAGGTATGCTCTTATTTCAATACCAGTCAATACCATATGGTATAGACTGGTAAAAAATGGCTCAATTTTTTTTGTTCGAAAAATATATAAAAGTGGATATCATTTTAAAGAGCACAATTAATCTGATCTAACTGTGCAAAAAAAATTAAATTTCGACTTAAAACGAGTTTGAAATCATCCGTCAAAGATTAAGGAGGGGAAAATTAAAGGCTTTCCAAGAGAGAGAGGATGCTGATGTCATGCTGATGTGGGCGGGTTACTCATAGTTACTCACCATAAAGTTACTGACCTGATCTATTCCCGTGCACAACCCCTCTATAACAAGATTTATGCTATTGATTTTAAATGGGGTTAAATGATTTATGCTATTTTGTGGTGTTCCGCAGAT